ACGTTAACGAGAGAAATTACGATCATGCTATGATCAAAAAAATTCTGGATGGATAAAAGCTTTTATCGATGCAAGATTTTCGATACGTTAGATCGTTAACGTACGCGCCGAATAAGAGACGCCCTTCCCCCACCCCTCCTCCATAAGGATAACGCGATTTCGAAAATTCACTCGAGGAGAGATACACGACGAGAGGAGATAGGCGGAAAACCAATCCTTCGAAATATTTGCCTCCCCTCGACAGTGCAACTCGATTAATTACCAGTTAGTTTGTCTTCCTTTGATCAATCGCTCGCTACGTCATTACTCTCTCTCTCCCTCTCTCCTCGATTCGCATCTTCGATCCTTGCGCCCCGCTTACGATACGCATTCTATATTTTCGATTGCACGGGCGAGGGGAGGGGAAAGAAAAGAGAAGGTTCGCGAAACGGGACTCGTTGATTGCACGTTGAATTTCGTCGGTGGATGTCTTTCGATTGATCGAATCGATGATCGATCCGTTTTACAAACGTGGGTGTTGTAAACGTGAAAAGATTATAGATAATAGTTGAATAGGAGGGGAGCCACGTATTCGATATACCGAATTTATTTCGCGCAAATGCGCGCGTGACATTAGCGCGTGATTACGGTTACAAGCCGTTATTTAATAACGGTGTTTCATCGACCACCGGATTTTGTTGACGTCGACCGCAGACGCGTGGTATATCCGCGCGTACATCGCGATCCCCCATTCGGGATCGAAGGCGTCCATTCGAGGAAACGGGTTTGTTAAATTAATGGAACGAATTTTGGGAAATTTTGTTCCTAAATGCGTATAATAAAAAATCGCGATTAAATTTTTTTCTTCCCCCCCTCTTTTTGCAATTTTGAAACGTTATCGTTCGAAATGAAACGGGTAATTACCCGGGAAGTAGAGGGAGGAAGGATATTAACGAGAGAGAGAGAGAGAGAGGAAGAGAGAAAGAAGGGACGGGTTACAAGGTTAAATTGGAAAAATGCGTACAACATTTTAATATCCTCTCTCCCTTTGTCCCCTTTAACGAAACATTATTAAAATAATGGCGATGCGCGCTTCACTCGGGGAGGGAAGGGAGGGGAGATGGCAACGGTTGCGAGCGAAATCGATATATAGCGGAAACGAGTTCTTCGAGTATTTATATTTTCTCGTTTTTACCGAGGCGATAAAAATTGCCTCTTTGAATAAAACCGTAACGTCGAATCAGTTAGCGCGCTAACTGCTTATTCTGTTGCGCCAATTTAAAAAGAGGAAGAAAAAAAGAAGGAAGAATTTTTAAACCTCCTTTCGATCGAAGATTCGATCTCGTCGAATTATCCAGTTACAAATTTTCCGTGAATCCAGGTCAACGGTGTTCTATCCATTCCAACGCTTAAGTGCTTGGTTTTTACTTATAAGAGGAGACGGTGTCGTTTTACGACGCGATATAACGATTACGTTCGAACGTACGCGTCATCTTTTTCTTCTTTTTCTTCTTCTTTTTTTTGCGCGCGTGTGTTCGTTTCGTTCGTTTCGTTCGTTCGTTCGAGAAAGAGAGAGAAAGAGAGAGAGAGAGAGAGTTGTCGGTGCGAAACGGAGATCCGCAAGTTCTTATTGCATCGATTCGACACCGTGGAGAGGAACGCGTATAAATTTCATTGGGGATCGCATCCACTGTGCGAGAAACGTGGAATCCTCTTAATACACCCCTGTGAGTTGTACGTAATTAGGTAATTATTATTTCACGTTCGTTTCGGGGTTCGTGTCGCAGAGGAGCTTAGCATGCCTGTATCGAAATATCGGCTCTTGAGGGACCTCCTTTATCGACTCGCCTGCTTTTAACGTGGCTTGTGCGGTGGTAATTAAAACGGGGGGAAAAATTAAAATCCTCCCGCTTTGGGAAAACGTTGGAATTAGAAAAGATTGTCTAATTCGTTCGATTATTTACGTTAGGGAGATAACGGCTCGCTTTTCTTTAAAATTACCAAGAAGAAGAAGAAACTTTACGAGTAAAAGTTTTAACGCCACGAAGTGGATTATAACGCGAGAATTTATTTATTCTATTTTTATTTTTTCATTTTTAGATAAAGATCATCTCAATTTTTCTTTTTCTCTAAACAACTTCCTATATAGTTTCCAGCTTGTAAAATCTTTTTCGAGATATTCTTACTCGTTTCCTCCCCGATATCCGCGAATCCCTTCTACGATGCGCGCGCAGTTTCCACGGTCTTTCTTTTCGCGTCAGACGTAAGGTAACAAGGAGCAACGAAAGCGGCTCGAAATGGTGGGGAGAGTGACAGATGGAGCATATGGGAGCATTAAAAACACACGCATCCGTTTCACTTCGACGTTTCTTGCGTACGTTCTTCGCTACGGCTCGGTTAACAAGCTTAGTAGTTGAGTAGACACGCTCGTTAGAGCGGCTTGAATCGTTGTTTCGAGTAACCAGGTGGGTTAGATCGTGCTCCGTTACCGCTCTACCAACAAGAAGAGAGGTCCGTGAAAGCGGCTTATATCCAGAAATGCGGTCTCCACCCGATGCGAACAACTTCATCGAAATGTGTTTAACGTTCAACCACACGGTCCAACCATCGCACGGACGGCGTACTTTCCCCCTCCCCGTGAGATGAATATTATTCATATTATATATTATTCGTATTCAATTATCTCACGCTTTCATATCACACGATTAATACACCACGCATACACCGATCTCAAGGCAGTTTCTTTCAAGGATGAAACAGCTTCTTTCAAAGGACGATCTCTTCCGTTCTCAGAGGCGGAAGGGCTCGTCCCTCCTCCTCCTCTGTTGAACGTTCGAGGGGAAAAAATATCGATTGTCCCGGGGCGGTGGAAAATTACCGGGCATTAATCTCAGAAGCTTTAATTAGGAAGGACCGTGACAAACGTAGGAAATTTTTATCTAAACTCTCTCCATTTCGGCATCCCCTTAGGGAGGTAATTTTTACGCGATATTTCGCTTCATTCTTTTTTCCCTCCCCCCCTCTCGACGGGCGCCCTTCCACCCTTTAAAAAGATACCGGGGGGAGTAAAGGCAAAGTGTATTTACGGAGGATTCTTTTTTTTCTTTACAACCTCCTCATCCCTTCCTCCCCCCTTCTAAGCGTTTCAAGCGAGAAAACGTAAGACTTTTTTAAAGGGTTCGCGTTACTATCCTATTTTTTTTTGTTTTAGAAAAATTAAGAAGAGAGAGGAAGAGGGAAGAAAGGAAAGGAAAGGAAAGGAAACCCTCGAAACCGTTTTTACCCTCATATCTCCAAGATAGCTTGAAAATTTGAATGAAGATTTGAAAATTTGCATCGATCTCTTGCTGGTAATGTCTCTCTCTCGATTCTTTTTCAAAGTTGAAGAAAAATACCTTGGTAAACTCGTTGGGGAAGGGAATATCTTTTGGATATATCTTAGGGGACAGGCGAATGAAATAAAATTTTTAGAAATCGAACAAGAAAGATCGATCTTCGATCACAAAGAATCGTTACTTTTTCTTTCTTTTTTTTTTTCTCAGGTTTAAACGAGAGGCTCGAAGATGGAGGAGGGGAAAAAAAAAAAAACGTTTCTTCGTTAATATTCGGAGATACTTCCTTCAATTGGCTTAAACTTTCCTTTATAAAATCGGCCAACACCCCTTTGAATCTTCGTTAATCAACGAGATTACGGACAACCGAGAACTTTATCTTGACCAACCTTCAAGAATATTCAATTTAATTATCGGAAAAATTCTACCCCCCCTTTCTTTCTTTTTTCTCCATCCAATGGGAGTTAAACTCATCGAGCCGATATTTTCTTCCAGGACAGGGTCGGATATTCGAAAATCCAAATTTTCGAAAACGATCGATCTCGATCTCGAAAACGAGACGAAGGGAAGAAGTTCGAGTTCGACTCGACGCGTATATAGTTTCGTTGGCCTCGGTTCAAAAACAAGGTTTAACTCTTAACTCTAATATTTAACTCCGTCTGAGTCAGGTTTCGCCGAGGAGAAACCTCTTTTACTAAATAATAAAAGAGAGCGGTCGAGAAATTTCTCGAGGGGGAGGGGGAAAAGATAAAGATCTCGAGGATTCTCGTTCGACGCTTTCTGCCCACATGTGCTCTTCGAAGAAACGAATCGTCGTCCGAAGGGGAGGGCGAATCTCTCCCTTGGGGAGATGGATCCTTCCGATTTCCATATCGTAATTAATTTCTCATTTAACCGGTGCATCGCATTAATTATACGTCCCACGGCGACGCTCCACCCGTATACATATCTAATTAGTTCGGTTTCATCCAGGACTTATATAAAGTGTGCACGCTCCACGGGCCACGATTAATCCGTTAAATCCCCCTTCTCGAACTCTTTATCTCTCTCTCTCTCTCTCTCTTTCTGGCGATTCGTCCTTCTCTTGCCCTTCGACGACGCGTGAAACGATCTTTTTTTACGACCTGCGCGAAAGAAAAAAGTCGTTGCCGTTCCTTTCGCGATATTTTTAATCATTATACCCACAAGAGAGAAATATATATATATATTTTCTCTTTGCTCGTCTACCAATTTTTTAGCCAAGAAAGAATTTTTTCCCTCTCCCCTAAAGATCGATATTTTAATATAAAAGGATCGCTATTCTACCTTTGATACATTGTTATTTGCGAGTGCGGCACGCTCATAACCGGGGCCAAAATTCTACAACGAATTCCATGAATTCTGTAGAATTCGAATTCGCGCAAACGAAATGCATATTCATCGAACGAATTAATTCTTATACCGAAAGATACGTAATATTATCAAATGTTGTATAATTAATTTACAAGAGAGATATATTTCGCGAATAGAATTAGTTTTTACTGGTAACTTTTCTTCTCAAATTGTGTCCACCATATTTCGATATCGGGCGCGTTCGAAACGAAATATTTTTTTCGATCATTAAAAATACAGCGAAGGACAGGATTTGAACGATTTGGAAGGGTGTCTGTGTCACAGTTACATCACGCGGTATGTATACATTATACTCACTCGGATGATCCGGCTCGGTGTTGTTGTTCGCATCCTCTCGCATAGACGTAGCGGTAGTTTTTCTCGACTGTGCGTTGGCAGTGGTCGATAGCTCGATGCACGTCACAGCGATCAATATCCACAGCATACTGATGAACGTCTCTTGATTCAATTTCACCCTCGAACCATCCTAACCGCGTTCAAACTCCTCCTCCACTTCCGTTCCGACGCTCCGCTTCCAAACTTTTTCCCCCTCTTTGTCTATCAACAAAACACATCATCGGCACACATTATTATAACTGGATCCCATCCTGTTAAAACTTCACACTTTTATTACGAAAGGAGGCGATCTCACTTGGATCCTCTCGGATGACGAGGATCGATTAAAAATTTAGTCTGTCGCGGGTTTAAGAGAGAGAGAGAGAGAGAGGAGAGGAGAGAGAAAGAGAGAGAGAGAGGAATTGAATTATATTCGAGGTTGGCTGGCCGGCCAGCCTCG